CTCCATATTGTTTTCTAATTTCCTAAAACCTTTCTTCACTTTTCCTCTCTTTTCAGGAGTGCAGAAAGCCGCCCTTATCATTTCTTTGGCCAGTTTTGACAAACTAAAGCCAGAAAAGACATTTTTAAAGTCTGACCACCTTAGACATATAATCAAACCAAATACCAAGAGGAACACTTTAACTTCAACTTTTTAATAAATCTTTGGTTGTTTGGAGCAGTTGTTCAAATATAACATGTCATTAGCTTACATTAATTGAATGAAAGATGATTTCCAGCTAAAATGCATACTGTATATTAACTATGAAATAAAGAGGTGTATGTTTCTAGAGAGGTGTTGGTTTACAGCAACTGGAAAATGAAATCTGAAGCAACATTTGATGTAAACATGTCGTGTTGTAGGTGATGTAAAAACAAAACAAAACAAAAAATGTTGGAAATGTCAAAATGTGACTTACATGCTTCCTGTGGCTGAGCTGCTGTCTGTGGGTAAGGAGCCGTTGGAGTGCTCCATCTGGGCCAGCCTGAGAAAGATGACATCATCAGTGACTAAAACTAAATTAACAGCCAAAACTGAAACACTGTCATCATCTCATTAAAATGTAGAACATCAGTATCTAAAAATGAAGATCTCACTGCCACAGTAGCACACCAGTGAAAATGTAAAGAAATTACAACTTTACACAGGTGCACGTACAGTACAGTACGTTCTAGTATACAGTGGCAAGAAAACGTATGTGAACCCTTGAGTTAATGACCTCAAAGAAGCTAACTGGAGTCAGGTGTTAGCATACCTGGAGTATTGTTAAGAAAACGAGTTTGGAGGTGTGGACTAGAGCTACTTTGACTAATAAAAACTACTCAAACCTTTTGAGTTTGCTCCACACAAGAAGAATATGCTCATGTGAGCCATGTCTTGCCAGAAAGAGCTATTAGAGGATCTACAATCAAGAATTGTTGTTGCATAAAGCTGGAAAAGGGTTATAAAGTGATTTCAGTGACTTTAAAAATTCACCATTCTACAGTTAGGCAAACAATCCTAGGTAGGCTACTCTAGCAAGAAGTGGGCGCCCAGTCAAAATGATCCCAAGAGCACAATGAAGACTCATCAATGAGGTAAAGAAACAACCTTGAGTGACAGCCAAAGATTTGAAGGCGTCATTGGAACTGGATAACATCTGTGGTCATGAGTCTATAGTACATAACACATTGAACAAACAGGGTGTCTATGGCAGGACACCACGAAGGTTTACCGCTGCTTAGTAAAAAGAACATTGATAAATGTCTGACGTTTGTGAAAAAGCACACTGCCAAAAGCAGCCAAAGCAGTTCTGCAGGAAGAATGGGCTAAAATTCCTCCTGAATGATGTGCAGGTCTGATCCACAGCTACCGGAAGTGCCTGGTTGAGGTTATTGCTGCCAAAGGGGGGTCAACCACTTATTAATTCCAGGGGTTCACTTACTTTTTCCACTACCATTTTGAATGTTGAATGAGTGTCTTTAATACAAACATGAAAGATCAGAATTTTTTTGTGGTGTTCTTTTAGGCACGTTATATTCATCAGTGCTCTTGACTTAGATGAAGATCAGATCACATTTTATGACAAATTAATGCAGAAAACCTTGAAATTTCAAAAGGTTCACGTACTTTTTCTTGCCACTGTATGTGTGCACACCCAGATTCTTCCAAGGGGTAAGACAGGATTTGTGCAAATGTGATACTTGTGGATGTAAACATCCAGACTTATCTTAATATCAAGCGTGGCAGCTTTTCAATCTCACTGCAGCAGAACATTATTTGGTTATGTTGGTAAAGATTAGCTGCAGCTCACACACCGTGTACATGGGTGTGTTGATGTATGATGCAGGATCATTTGAAGTGAAAACAGCCATCAGACTGATCTGTTACAACTCTGATCTCAGAAGCAAACCTGTAATGTCACCAGCCAAAGTGGTGGGTGGCTGTGTGTTTTTGGAGTTCACTCACAGAGCAGACTTTGATAGTCATCTGACATTTAATATATGTGAACACTGCTGATCACAAAATAAAAAGCAGACAACATTGTAAAGTGTATTTTATGAATGTCAGATCTAATATACATGTAATGCTTTCCATTAATGCACATATTAAACGGATCAGGCTGACCTTCATTATTCTATATTTAAAATTACACTGAACGTTTGTGGAACATTTGTTTATACAGATCACTGGTCATGAGAGAAAGCCAGATATTGCTGACTGGGTTTCTCAGAGGCTCTGGTGCTGTTTGAGGGAAAATGGGAGAAAAACATTTTTGCTTCTCTTATTTGTCATTGCAAAATAACATTTTCACTACAAACATAAAGGCAAAAGGCTTATTTTTGTCTCCATTTATTGGGAAACATGCTTTCCCCTTGCTGTTATGTCTTTGTAATGTCTCGGCTCAACAGAGCCAGTTCAGTTCCCCAAAATAAAATTATCTGCGTTCCTTGACATTAATAGAAGGTGCTTTGTTTGTGTTTGATTTGGAGGTGAAAGAATGCGACATTTCTTCCTTACAATGTCTGCACTACATAGACCTCTTATGATAATGAATAGTTTTTGGCTCTTATTTAACCATTTTGTTTACTTTAAATTACAAATACACATTTTACATTTCTGATGAAATTATTACATAGCATAATGCAGTGTTTCCCATCATGCAATATCCCCTGTAGCTTCTTTTCCATTTATTTCCATCTTTTAAAATCACCGTACAGAGATTTGATTTGGTTGTCATGTCAGCGGTTTTTGTTGTCATCTGTTGCCTAGCAATGCACCTTGCGTACAGAGTAAAGGCAAGTGCAACCTGCACTGTGGAAATAACACATTCAAAATCGTGATATTCCTTCAAAAAGGATCTGCAACTATAAAAAATATTGGGGGTTTTTTGTAGTGAATTATCAAAAACCTGCAAAAACAGTGGTAATGCCCTTTAAACCTGGGTTTCTCGGCCTATCATGGGGCTGTTATTTAATCTGCAACATTTACATGTAGTAAGCAGTTCCCTTTAAAAGTGTGTGCTTTGTGGCATCTGAGATGAGGAGATGATGACCACAGAATGAAGTGCGTACCTGCTGGCATACTGTTCTATCCTGGAATGGGTGTCATCATGAGAGAGCTGGGGTGTCTGCGACAGCCTGGAAATGAATGGGGTAATGGAGATGAATTCAGCATGCTCATACACCCTCATTAAGACAGGGAGATCTAACAGGCGCATGCACAAACTCAGACACACAACCCTTCACAAGCATCACATAGAAAACAACTCTGATGATCCTAGAAAGAGAAACAAGAGAGTGGGGTGATCTATGTAGCGTTTGGATGGTTTTGGCAGCCATTGCTGGGAGGAGCAACTAAATGCTAGTTGGATGCTTTAAAGAGAAGAAGGCAGCGCTAAGACAGTGGGTGAGTGTTTTGGCTGCATGTGTAGCCAGTGGCTCAGGCAGTCAGACAACATGCAGTGCAGTCATGGCTTGGCTGGTGTGAGGTCGTAAGAGGAAGTGAGTGAGGAGACAAGGGTGTAAAGGGAGTGTCAGTTAAAGGCATTCCAGTCTGGAGACAAGGCGCTGTTGCTGGTGGTGTGGATACTCACTCATACTGCTCCGGACACATGCTGATGAGGGTGATGGGGCTGTAAGAGAAACGAAAGGGAGGAAGGTAGGGAAGGTAGGGAAGGAGGGAGGGGAGTAAAGGTACCACAAAACATTTCAAGGTCAAATCACTCAGTGGGTTAGAAACAAAAACACAGCAGGTGGAGGAAGAACTGGAAGGAAGAGTCTGTCCAGCAGCTGAGCGGCCAGACTCAACACAGAGGAAAGGGAGGTAAATCAGCCACCTGTATATATAAATATATATACACACAGCATATGTGGTTGAGATTATCCCCTGTGATCTTCTCTAAAGCCTGATGCAAAACAGACCTGTGACACAGAAAATCTGTAGGCTGACGAATTTGAAAAGGCAAAACGAGCAAGTGGACCTGTCACAATATGCCCAGAGAGAGTGTGTGTGTGCGTGTGTGTGTGTGTGTGAAAGCTCACACAGAACATGGTTGAGTCTATCTGCTGACTTTGCTGTCACACATAATTCACTAAATTGGTTTTACAATTTTTTTTCTACAGAATGATACGACTCAATCATTCCTTTCTCTCATTTATTTCCTACAGGATTTACAGAAATACTACACCCAAAACATACAGACAGTAGAACCTGCTTTTGAGCCTTATGTTATAAAATTAGAACTAGAGCCCATGCAGTGGGAACTGAGATACAGAGACATGTCTCCTCAGAAGGTTTCTAGGTTTCTAGTCTGTTGTCACTGCTGTTATTCTTATTGATGCAGAGCATCAATTATTTTTTGTAAACAAATGGGACACCTCACACCTTGGAGGGAGCTGGCTAAAAATAGGCAAGATAACAGTTGAGGTTAACACTCTTTAGCCTCGTACTTTTGTTCCCACATTAAAGCAGGGAGATTCAGAGAGAGACATGTGGCACAGTGCTTACGTTTCTCACAGGAGGGCTGCCAATGTAGTCGCACTTCTGTAGCTGGGAGGAGAATTCAGAAAGGAGCAGGGGATTCAGACTGAAGAGGAATTTTAAAAAAAGAGAGAGTGAGAGAAAGAGAGAAATCGAGGTCGGCAGGGCAGACTAAGCCAGAGCTGGAGCCACAGCATTTGACAAGCTTCCGCCAACGTATTTGCCAGAAGGGACAGTGAGTGTGCTCTTTTTGTTTTTTCAGGAGAGTGATGTCAGTTTTCATCTTTGCCAAAAATTTATAGCTTTGTAGATTCTAGATCAGGGGTAGGCATTCCCAGTCCTCGAGTGCTGCTGCTCTGCTTGTTTTCTCACTATCCCTACCCTACCGACTGCTGATTACCTGGATCAGGTGTATTCAGTCAATCAAAAGGTGGAAGATACCATCTTTTGTTTTGTGTGAAAGGTTAAAGAAAACTCTATCTGGTTCATTGTGCTGTGGCAGTAACTCAGTTACTAGTAACTAGTAGTAACCCAGTTAGCACTGCTTCTCTCTGCTCCTCACCCTGTCATGCAGTTTCTCTGTTAGGGGTAAAAGACCATCTCTATGTGCTGACACCTCTACCTGTCTGTCAGGAAGACAGCTGAAGGACTGAAAGGTACAAGTGTGCATGTGTGAGTGAGTGTAAGATACAAAAACAACTTTGATGACATGCTGATATAAAAACAACTGTAAAAATCTGTTTCTTGCACTGAGCTACACCAACTAATGAACAGAAGGCTAAAGAGGAACATTTTTTCCTATGGCTGCATCAAACTAATTTTAAGACTTAAAAAAAGATCCATTAATGTTCAAATTCACATTCAAATCTGTTAACCTCTCTGCAAAACCTAATGCGGCAGAAACTCGTCTGCCCGATCTCATCACGTCAAGTGAAAAGCTAAAACAAACACCGAGTGGGAAACCATTAGCAGGTTCCCCCCCCCCATGTTATCAAATATAGCTGTGACAAATCAAAAATCCTATGTGGTGTGAAATTAAGCAAAGATATAAGTGGGAGCCGAGAGTAGGTGGTGTTTTGCTCTCTCAAGGTGGAGAGAAACTGAGTGGGTGTGGAATAAAAAAATGGAAATGATGAAACAAGAGTGGAAAGGAGAGAGGCAGTGAGTGAGTGCATTAGAGAGGGCAATTATACAGCAGACAGTCTAATGTTCTCTTCTGCCGCTATAGCACGTTAAAAATAACAACTGAGAAGTTCGTTTTGTTAAGATGAGTAATGAAGCCTGACAAGAGCATGAAAGGGGTTTGGGGGGATATTTTAAAAATAAAATCTCTTAATTTTGCTTGACATTGTACACAAAAAGATAAACCTATTTCTCCGATATGATACTCAGGATGATGTTAGTAGTATGCTAGTGGTTTGCCAACAAAGTTGAAAAATTGGGAGCAATCATATTCTTATTACAACCAACACAGCAGCAAATGCTAATGATGATTTACCTAATCTGAATAATACCTCTTTTTAAGCAGGAACTAGACCTTGTTCCTGTTACAAAAAAATCCATTTCAATTTAGGTCACGGTATTTATTTTAGTGACACGAATATGGCGAGAGCCCATAAACTGTGAGAGTATACTGTAGGTCTTAAATTAATGTGATTTGCTAAGCATTTCTTAATGCTGTTCATACATCTAAGCCAGATCAATATAGACAACTGAAAAGCTAAAAACTGCACACAGGCTTCTTTCTGTACACAAAACTGTCTGATAGCACGCACAAGCTTGCGGCTGCACGTGGCTAGTCCGCAGAATGTTGGGAGGCCTAATGCAGCAAAAGAAATGAGGAAAAGATGACCATGAAATAGCCCTAAATTTCTCTGAGTCTCCATTCCCTTCTGCCATATCCTTAAAAAAATCTCCACATTTCGACACCATCCCTCCGCCTGTTAGAGGCATTTATCAGGCAGGCAGCTCTGGAGGAGTCATTAGTCAGAGTGGAAGGGAAGTGAGAATGGAGTGAGGTGGGAGGTGAGGAGAAGGATGAGCAAGGATGGGAGGGAAGAACAAGGAAATGCAATCGATCTGAGAGGAGACTGGATTCAACTGGATGTTAGTGAAAATCTTATCGCAAGGAAAAAAAAACTGGGGAGTCACTGTGTGTGCACGCATGAACATCCTTGAAAGTTTTTGGGGCTTAAAAAAAATGCTAAACTACTTTGTTCTGAAGTAAGAAAGCATAAGTGGGGAATCGGAATGTGACATTAGGAGTGACTAAATAATGGTATGTTCCACAAAACATAAAAATGCTGACAGGTGGGAAAAAAGTGGGCGATAGATCAAATATGGAAAAAACACAAAAACGAGTGAGTGTGACAGTTTCAAAGCACAAGGGGGCAAGCAGGCTGGCATTCAAAGAGGGCCACAGCTCTGGAGAGGAGGATGAGGCACCCATGTGAGGAATCTGCATAAGGTGGGCCTATTTAAACAGCTCTCTGGGGGGATTTACAGCTGGTTTAAACAGGCACATAAATCAGATGTTGTCACTGTGGCCAGTGCTGCAGGCTGAAGATCTACAGTGCAGCAACAGCTCCTGGTAAAGACTGGGCCAACGGGTAAATAAACACATAAACCGAGTGGGAAATTATACTCCCCATAAATTGTAGCACTTGGTGCATGAGTGTGTGCTGAGTGACACACATGAAACTTTTCATAATCTGTGACCTGAGGAGAGTTATGACAAAGAGAGAGATAGGACAGTAAGGTGCATTTAAAGAGACAATCCATCTATTCTACATGTCAAAGTCAGTTTAGTAATTATGTGAATTACAGCTCAGGTGTGAAAACGGTTGTGTGCCTTTGTGTCCTCTGAGAGGATTTGTTAAGTCTAAGAACATTAATGAGTGGAATCATCTTGATCCAAAGACTCAAATGTTGTAAATGAAAGCCTGCATTACAGACTGGCAGCATGGACATCAGCGAAGCCAGGGGGGTGGCCCGAGATGGCACCAGTCTAAATGTGATGCTTGTTGGTATAATGAATGAAAAATGAAAAACAATGACAAATTGTTGCCTTAAATACAACTAACATTTTTCTTTATAATTGACACTAGTCAAATTAGTTTTATGTTATAACATGCATGCAGCATGATACTGTATTTGCATTCATTTCTCCAACTGTGTTATTGTGGAGTAGGTTACTAGGCATGTGTGTGTCTGTCCCAACCTCAGTGGGAGGGGAAAACAAGAAGACGGAGCACAACCAACGTCAGCTGAAGAAAGAACTGTGTGCCTCATGTTTACACAGAATAAACAATTAGATTCTTAATAATGTGTTGTTCATTATTTCATAGAGCTAGGGGTTTAATTTAATTTTTACATTATGTGCCACCCCTCTCTGAGTCTGTGTCCCAGCCTGGCCACCAGACCAAAATTTTCTAGATCCACCCAGAGCATGGAGTTTGAGAGATGTGGTGAGCTGCGAGTTTTTAACAAAAGACAGCATCGAGATGCATTTTGGGAAGCTTAGGTTCCAAGGTTTTGGAAGCTTGAATCAGGATATCTCAACCTCTGCAGTATCAATCATGGCCCCTTTTGTTTATTGGTCTCTTACAAAAAAAGTACCATTTGAAAACTTAAGCATTTAAGCTTTTTGAGTTACAGTGAAATTAAAAACCTGACTGTTAACTTATGATTTGCAGCAGCTAGTAGAGCAGCAGAAAGTGTGTGCTCAGATGTCAGTGGGCAAAAACTTGATGTTTCCAAAAGAGAGCGATTATGCTTTCATTTATTTATACCTTCCTCACTCTTAATCTGCTTTAACAGCACATGAGGGAGGTGTGGGACAGCTGTCATCTAGAACTCACTAGGGCTCCATATGCCGTTTTCACTAAGCCACACCCACAAAATTTAGATTTAAATCCCTCTCATCATTAAACCTTGACCACACATGATGTTTCACCCACAAATACATGACATTACTGAAGCTATAGATGTATTAGCGACACTTTCTGACATCAAGTAACCTTAGGACAGCTGAGAGGGCTCGCGAGCTTTGACAGACATAAAACTAAACAAAGGGGGTCCTAGTTTTGGTGCCATTAATGTGTCAACACTGATTTGTAATGAAGAGTTTATTATATCTGATTTCAGAAAGACTGTGTTACTTACGTTTCCATGTTGTCGCCCTCTAGAACTGTCTGGACCGGTAGGTAGCCTAACCGAGGATGCTTGGCAAAGTACTTCTTTGATCGGAACTTGTTCTTCAGCACTTTGGTGAAATCGCGCATGTCCTCGCCTGATGTTGTCTACAACAGAAACAGAGAGAGTGAGTGTGTGGTGTTATTGATCGCATTGTGTGTGAGTTTATGTATTTCCACAGTGTCTTGTTCACACATAAGGAGCATGCATTATGTGTGGAAGAGAATGGGGTTTTGTTAATTAGATACTTAAAGGTGTTCCTCCTGCAGAAGTGATTTCTGCCTTGCAAGCAAACAACAAATTACAACAATAGCCTGGCTGGGAGGCAAGGAAATCCCTTTGCAGAGGATTCAGAGAAGTACGACTGATCTCACAGACAGACACACACACACACACAAAGGCAAATACGTAACTCTCACAGCTGATAGATATGCGTAAATGAATAGGCTATTGACTTCACTTGGCTTATTGACTAATCCATGCAATTTAAGATGGCAGCCTGAGCAAACCAACAGCAATTACAAAACAATTCTGGGAAACAGAAGGAATAATTTGTGCACCTTTATATATTTGTGTTTCTATGCATATATGTTTTAATGTAGGATCTTTTCCTGTGTGGCTTAACAAACATGTTTCTTTTCTTTTTTGCCTTTAATTATATAGTAACAATGTAGATAAAGACAGGAAAAAATTATAAAGAGAGAGAGAAAAGAGGAGACATGGCAGGCAACAAAGGCCTCCAGCTGGAACTGCAATGGCTACTTTACAGTCTGTCCGAACCACAAGGCCACCAGAACGCCCCCCAATGTGCTGAGATAGCCAGAAAATGTTTAATTTAAACAAAATGACACCAGACACATGAATCACACTTGAACCCAAACATCATCTCCACTTATGAAAGGTAAAACCACTGAAAATTACAGTAATCAATACAGCACAGCACCAAATTTGTCTTCTTCGATATCACCAACAAATCTCCTTGGAAGTAGGAAAAGGCCACTCCCATAAAAATCTACACCTAAAAAACAATAAAGCAATATAGTAGCTATAAAATAAACAGTACAACAAAGATAAGACAACAAATCTTATTAAATGACTGCCTTGAATCTCTCAAACCCGACGATCCATCTGTAACTCTCGGCAAAATCGGGTTTTATAGAATAATTGTTCCACATGGATGTGATATTTTCAAAGGTGTAAAACCAAAATGCAATTTGGTTTGAGCATGGGGAGAAGGGCAAATACAATTATGTATGATACTGATATTTTTTGAGGCAACAAAGAGAAACAAAAAAAAAACAACCTTGCACTTCAATAGTGTTGAATACAGAAGTTAATTCAAATGAGATTTCATTTAATTTCCCTGTGGCTGGAATTACAGATTTAAAATTTTGTATTTAATTTATTATACTTTATTAATCCCATGGGGAAATATCTTACTGTCAGTTGCTGCCTGGCCACCAGGGGCAACTAGGGGTTCAGTGTCTTGCCCAGCGAGACCAGGAATCAAACCACTAACCTTCCAATTTTGAGACGACTGCTCGGATTTGGGTCTTAGATACTGTACATCTAACAGCTTGGAACAACTAGATTTGTGTGATTTTCTACCAGTCTTACAGTATGTGGCAGTTCAGTAAAGCTGTATTAAGTTGGATGTGCAGTGTTTGTAAACAGCATCATACCACACCTCTAAGTTGGACTGAAGTCGAAGGATTTCAAGGTCTTTCTTACTTTTGTTCTACAGCCATCTTAGCATTTATCTGCATTTATGCTTTAGGTGATTGTCCGTAAAGAACATAAGCAGCTGCACCAGTCTAATGTTTGGCACTGTAAAGCAAGCTGTCCCCTATAATTTGCTTGTCTTTGGCTCCATTCACTGCTCTCCTTAGCTTCACACATCTTTTAGCTTTTGTGCTGAAAAAGCCTGCAGACCAGTATAATACTGTCACAGCCTTTCATTAAAGAAGTGATAAGTTGTGAATATCTTTTGGCAGACACAGAGATTAACACTGTGGCTGAAAAGTTCAAAATATTCATTGAATCAGAACATAAAATCTTTTGTCCTGTGCTCTGTTTTTCACAGATTACTGTCCATCTAGCAAGTTTCATCAACACAGTCCTTGAGCTGTTGATCTCATCTAAAGTCAGTCTTGTTTGGCTTCTCAGGTCAGCTGGAATGACTAGCTCTAAGTGAATAAAGATGCATCTACTGGTACCTAAAAGATACAACCAAATATCTAGATGTACCGTAGATACATCGTTTGAAAACACACCTAATAAACTGATCAGTGAAATAAACCCTGAATAAACGCACAAAACATTTTAAGACAGGACACAACAAAATGTTGAAGTCTCTGTTTACGTCTTCCTTTCAGATCATTCTGATGATCAGTAAACTCTGGAGTGACCAACATACCCTATAGCCAAGTAATATCCTCCTCAGTAATATCAACATTTCAAGTGTTTGGTTTCTGAAGCTGAAAATAAGATCATGTTTATTCTAAGTCATGGCAAGTTGCTGCATGTTAGCTCAGGGAAGAATGATTGCCCCCCACAGCTAATCCTCCAAAGTCAATTTGTGCCCCATTTGCAAAACTGAAGAAACAAATTAAAAGAAATGAAAAATGTCTCCACTCAAGTCACATAAAGTTTGATGTTAAGCAATGCTGAAACAAGTTGTGTGATCCTAATCGAGAAAAAGTGCAATGCTCGATTTCACCAGGCTCTCCCTTTTCTAATATTCTTCTCTCTGTGCAGCAGTAAAGTGAAATGTTGCTTTCTGGCAGAAATTATAAAAAGACCTCAGTGAGCCATGAGCATTTTATCATTTGCTCATGTAAATCAAAATGAAGCCAGTGGTCTCCCGGCAAGGTTGCATGGGAAGGGGGACGTACAGGCCAGGGCTAGGAGCAATGTCCACTTGTATTAACCACAGTGTAGGTATATAAATCTGTTCACACAGTCACAAGTAAGGGGATGCACCTCTTAGCAGGAATTCAGACTTAGTACAGTAAAAAGCAGCTCCCTGCTGTTTTTTTATGCAAGGGGCTATGGTGAGGGGTTCCCCTGTATGTGTGTGGTCAACACAGCACCTTTGCCAGATGATGTCATCATCCAGTGCAGCAAAAGCTGAACCAGATCAAACTTTTTTTTGCTGCACACGGCTGCGTTGTTTTGCCGGAGGCCCCTGTGATGCAGGTGGTGGCTGCAGTGAACACAAACCCCCATTGAAATGAATGGAGAAGGTTTTTTTCCACAGCTTTGAAAGTGGGCTTTTGTGGACAAAAAAGCAAGTACCCAGCATGAAGCACCTTTACAACTGCACTTTATGGTCAAAAGCCTCAGGAACTCACCAATCCAATAAACCCAGTACTAACCTTGTCGAGATGTGATCCATATTAAGTATTGTTCCTTTGTCAATATCATTAAAAAATTCAGTATTTTATTCATTTAGTCATGGTGTGCAGCCACAGCATGTCTGGTGAAATATCATCCAACATAAAAATGATTTCTAATCTGGAATTTTGTAATTATGGAGGATCAGCAATGTATTTGGACATTAGTACAAAAACTGAAACTTGGGGTATCTGTGCTGCTGTAATTGTTAAAATAAAAAATCCTGAGAGCACAAAAAATTATAAGCATGAATACTCAAGGGTTGAAGAATGAGTCACTGGTTTATTTGACATTTGGAGAAGAATAGTTTTAATGAAAGATACAACAGGGGGCTGGTAGGAGGTAACCAAAGTCTGAAAGTGTGAATGTGTGTGTTTTCATTAAATGGATGAGTAGAATGTGTAAGCCTGTGGAACAGAGATATGAAATGAGCTATTGAACAACATGTGTATGAGTGAGAGAGTGTGCGTGTGTGTGTGTGTGTGTGTGCTACTCCCTTACTGGTGTGCAGTACTCCACCATGGGGTAGTTGAGCTTGTGGCCTTTGGCGGTGCGCCCAGAGAAGAAGCAGCTCTGACACACATCGTAGTTGAAATGCTTCAGACTGCGATACCTGGAGTGAGAGAGGAGAGGTAAGGAGAAAGGCAGGTGAAAAGGGGATCCGTTGAGATGAGAAATAGTGGCTCTAGATGTCACTTTCATGTCCTCGGGGTATGTTGTGTGCGTGTGTGTGTGCATGCACACATGAGCAAGCACGCTTGTAGCAACAACATGATTCATCTTCACATTCTCCTGAGGAACTGTCACACAAACCTCCACGTGCAAGCGTTCACACACACACACACACACACTCAAACCCTCGTCAATATGTTAACACTGTGACAGACAGTTGGATTTCCACCAAAACACAACAAGGTGACAACGACTGTCAGGATGTTACTGTAGCCAGGAGGGCATTTAACAGCTAAATTGAGACACGAGCCATTCAGACATAATAGCTTAAGTCTTTTATCTTTCTCTCCTCTTTGGCTCTCCCAAGGTTAGTTGACTGATGAGCTATGAAAGAGAGCCATATATCAAAGGATGGAAAAGCACACACAACACCGTCAAGCTAAGTGTGCCATTATATATCGACACTGAACATATTACAACAAAGAGGGGGTGTTAATTCATCTTCACAGCAGGAGGTGCTACAGTAAGATGGCCCTTAATTAAAGCATTTATTCACAAACAACTTTTAATTATGAAAACTGTAGTGTCAGGTTTCTGAGGCGACATCCTGTTAAGCCTTAAAAAGTACTTTTTTATTTAAGAAAAAAACTTTTATGCAAGATTCTGGCATTCTGGGGCAACTGTGGTTCCGTGGGTAGAGCACTTGTCTCCCAATCGGAGGTTTGAATCTCAGTGCCTGCAGCCCACGTGTCGAAGTGTGCTCGGGCAAGACGCTGAACCCCCCCCCCCCGTTGCCCCCGATGGTTAGAGCCATCGGTTGAGGTGGTGCCGCAGATGGCTGCCATCGGTTCTGTACCAGAAACAAATTCCTTGTGTGTAACATACTTGGCCAATAAAGGTGTTTGTTATCATATATTTGTCTTATTATGATTTGAAATATGTTAAAAATGCTGTTCTTAATATTGCTATATCGATCTCAACCATATCACATGACTAACAGGAAATATAGTTCAGGGAACAGTTGTATATTCTGAAAAGGTGAGTATTCAATTCTCCCAACCAAACCTAATAAAAGCAAACAGCATGAGCAAAGAATTTTATAGGCATCAAAACAAAAACTGAGAAATAAAACTGAACTAGGAAATTGCAAATCACAGTGCTTGCAGGTCCAATATTGCAAGTATCTAAATGTACATGCATAGAGTGAGATTGCTTGAAACAAGGTGCATGCAGCTCAGTGGCTTGTTAACTATCCCACAGTTCAGTTTTTGGATGATCTCATAAACCATGTTTAAAAAAACAGCTTTAAAAAAATGCTCCTTACAAAAAAAATAAAAATCTGCTAGTAACACAGCTGGTGTCAGGTCTCAAGATCAGACAGAATGCCTGCATTGCATTTTCCTTCCTCCTTCTCTCTGCCTCTCTGTCATTCCCTCTCATCGATCAATGACAGAGCCGGGGTGACGTGTGCTTCGTCAAATGTCTGTGTTTCTCTTTCTGCTTGCAAAGCAAGGGGACAATCCTGCCACCTGACTTCACTTGGCATGGTGTTACCCTTGTCTTCAGCTGCAGTAAAAATCTTTCTTTGCTAGAATGGTCAGTGAAAAACTGAGTTTTATGATAAAAGCAATGCACATCTTTCTTTACCTTTATACTGCACACGTGTAATTATGAGGACCCAGCTGAAACAAAGGGTGTGTGATTGTCAGTCCTGCACAGTATCAGAGGGCGGTCTGTTATGGAGTGTGAATTTTGTGAATGTGGCGGTGTAGTGTATGTTTGTGTGTCTTGTTGTTTATGACTGTGCGTGTACTGTAATGTATGTTTCATTGCAAACCTCAGGATGGTATTTAGTCGGTGGGGTATCAGCTGCTGACATTTAGATAAATGCCTGCCCTCCAGAGCAGATCTGCCCTTTATGCTCAACCAGGAGCGAATGACGGAGAACAGTGCCACATTCGGTATATGTGTATGAATGTGTTTGTATCTGGCCTGTTACATGTTAGAGACTCATCACCACTTGATTTTATGTGTGTTCCACAAGTGCTGAATTAAATGGTAAACCTGAGTAAATGTGTGGGTTTACCTGAAGCCAACAATGGGACACTCCTTGCAGATGTTACACTTGGCCTGATGTTTCGCCGTCTCTGCAGCAGCAACTCTGTGCAGGACAGGAAGCCAAACCATAGACTGAGGCTCCAAACGCATCCAATCAATAAACTGCCTGGGCTCCAGCTCCACCTTGTTAGTCACCTAGGGATAAAAGAGGTGGAGCCAAGAGTTAAATCAAAAATGCAGGAACCATATGAAGTTTACAGTTTCTGTAAAATGTGGGGAAGACCAAAGAGATCGAAGAAAGCTCAAACACGCCTCTACTTCCTCCGCAAACTGAGAATGTCCTACCCACCCTCGTGTGCTCTTTCTACCAGGGCACCATTGAGAGCGTCATCACTGGCTGCATCACTGTGTGGTACGGAGGCTGTACTGCCTCCTGCAGAAGGACTCTGCAACACATAGAGAATACAGCCACCAAGATCATCGGTGCCCCTCTGCCTTCCCTCATGGACATTTTTAACACCCGCCTCACCCGCAGAGCCATCAGCATTGCTGATGACACCTCCCACCCCGTACACTCCCACTTCAAACTCCTGCCTTCAGGGAGAAGGTATCGGAGTCTTCAGGCCCACTCCACCAGACTTACAAACAGCTTCATCTACCAGGTTGTGAGGATGCTGAACGCTGTCCATTACCTCCCCCCCTCTGCCCCCTGCCCCTGGACTGTGACCCACCACAGAACATAAAAAAATATAAAAAGACTACCTCTGCTGTTTTGCACAAACCTAGTACATTCCCCCTTCTTGTTATATTACATGTAAATCTGCGGCTGACTGTTTTTACCGTCTTATCTGCTGCTGTTGGGTCATTTGCACTACTGTCTGTATGCATCTCAGTCTCAACCATCTGACAATATTCTTGTTATTATTTGCACAGGGTTCGAGTCATAGCCTATTAGGTTGTACCGTTTAGTTTTATCCTAATCACTTTGATTTAGTTTTCTTATTCTTTTCAGTCTATTTTTACTCTACTTTATTCTATTTTAGTTTCCTAAATGTGATGGCATTCAATACTAGGTGAGAGAGAAACGGTATTTTGATTTTCTGTATGTCCTGCACATATAGTGAATTGACAATAAAAATATTTGATCTTGAAAAGTTAAACAAACAGGGCTGATAAACTGTAAATGCACTTTGTGACATGACAGAGAAATGTGCACAATATCATTCCCAGAAATGAAGAACAGGCTGCAACTCCCTGCTTGATCCTTAATGCCTAGACAAATGTAAGATAACTATAGAGTAGATATTAAATTGATGACTCCCTCAGGGGCATTCTGGCCTCGAATTGTGAACTACAACTAAATAACTTTTACGAGCTCCTTATTCATGTTTATTGGTTGAAATATCTTACATTAAACTGATTGATTTTTACACCTTCACTGCCCTTGTCCTACACAGCCTATAGTTAGCTAACAGCCATATTGCATGTGTGCAAGCTGCTATGAAAAACACCACACATTCCTACTCTTAGCTGTGGCTCTAAACCTTTGGAAGTGTAATTACCTCCGGTAAGGTGGAGGTAATGTTTTTACCCCCATTTGTTGGTAAACACAGCATAACAGGAAGTAACATAACATAACAAAACAACAACAAAACAAGCCTCCACTTTCCAACACATGTCGCTTTAAATTCAACCTATAAACAAAAATTATTTTAATACAGCAATGCTCACAAAATATATTTTAACACAAATGTTGTTCAACTGCAGATTATAACAAGCCCTTCACTGGAAAAGCCAACACGGGGTGAGAAGATTTGACATGCTGTTGTTAGCTAAACAAATCAAAGACGACCTTTCCATCATCCCTGACACACAAAAGGGCAGCAAATGCTGCAAAGGGCTGAATACATTTGTAGGAAGAAATAATCAAAAGGAGGAGAACGTCTGTGTGTGTGTGTTCTCCTGATTCTT